ATGTACAGAAAAATGTTGTTGCAAACACATACTGTGCCACACAATGTTTTATTTTTATTGCACATTATACGGGAAAGTGGGAGATATTACCGAATGCATTAGTACTAGGGTGCAGTGTAAATGTCCATTGAGTGCTGATAAAACGTGGTAAAACATTGCTTCATTGATGAACTGCCCAGATAGCATTGCTTGGCCTTATATTCATCAGACCTTATGTCTTAAGCTCTGTCTGTGGTGACCTTTCAAACTCAACAGTCATTACAATTGCAAACCCTAGAACCTACCCTGGACTTAGGTAATTGGGTTTTAAGGATTCAGTCTTAACATTAAAGAATACTACATGAAATGTAGCTCTTTTGGAATGATTACTTTTATTTAAACGTTCAAAAATGGTTGAATGTTTCAAAAGGATTGTGTTTTTTTTGTGTCCATTCTTTCTAGGTGTTGGTAGTGTCCGATTTTATTTGAACAAACCAAATACACTCCACATTTATTGATTGGTGCCCATCAGGAAGTATCTCAGTGATGTTCTAGGACAATGCAAACTGATGTACCGTATTTTTGTAGTTTAGTGTCAAAAGAGTCCAGTGAGAATACATGTTTTTTTTTTCAAAATGCAGCTGATTTAATCTTCATTATTCTGCTTTTGTGCTGGCTTTTGTGCTGGAAATTTAACTTGGAATTCAGGACAATTTTAATATTTGAGGACATATTAAGGTTTCAGACAAGGGTTTTATGAATGTAGGACAACATTTTGTTGTTATTCTTTACAATCACTGAATTATTTAGTAAACTACTTAAATTTACCATTTCAAATCAAACCAGTTACTATTAAACAAAAAGCTCTCTTCCAATCATAGATAAAATGTTTAATCATCAATTGGGAAAGTGAGGTTTGCTACTGTCTTGGGAAGGTTAAGAATCACATAACTCTATTGTTTTATGTTTATACTTACAATTGGACAAAATACAATTGTCTTAATCTTAATGCAGTACATTTTTATTATTTTCCTTATTAAGTTATACATGTATGATTAACACCACAGTTAGCAGTGCACCTCCTCTGCAGACAGAGATTTAACATTTAGATTTAAAAAAAAACTTCAAAGATGATACTACATTTAATTTTCACTTTCCTCTACAAAACACATTTATAAAGGCCATCCAATATACTTTATGTGTGGATATTAAAATCTAAGAGTGTAAAACCTTCTGTTGATTTGAAACTTCTATGTTGAAGATCGTTATCCTTTATTTTAACAATGTGTTCTTAAAAGTGATAAGTAGGCAGAAACGGTCTGTGCAGACCAATATTTCAGTTTGCCAATTTTAACCGGCATATAAATTGGAATGCATTCTCTTGTGGCCAGAATACCCATTACCTTGTAGAAGAAGTCAATTTACAGAATGCCCAGCTTTGCTTTTTATGAAAAAACAAACTCAAGGGCTTATGTCAGGATAAGCCCACAAATTGAGGCTTCAAACAGGTGTTGATCAATTTTAAATGTAAGCTTCCAGTGGGGGCCAGATGTTAGCAGTGCTATACAAATTGAAGGATTTATTGATTTATTAAAAGGCTAAAAGTGAAATAGAAGACGTATTTGCTTTTGAAAAATGTTTTCCTAAAGCAACCAAAACAAATTAATAATGGTATGCAGCATGTCGAAAACTTTAGAGGGTCACATAGGTGCAAAATGTGGGTAATGCAAGCGAATGGCTGAGGGAAATGAGATGTGTGCAGAACTGTCTTGGCTAAATACAGAAAAACGGAAATAGAATTTTGTGGATTATAAAAGACCCGAAGAAGCATATGGATGATTCTGACAAGCAGATGGGTAATTTCTTTAAGCATATGGTTCTGAGGGTAAAAGTATTCTAAACTAGTTATGAAGAAAATGGTCTTTGACTCTTGAAGTGATTGACATACACTCAAATGTTATTGAAACTCCTACTGTTCTACGACTAACAGTCCAGCAGCCCAGTGGAAATGAAGCAACATGATTACTTTCTCATAAGTCTCTACCTTAGAAGGAGCCCACATCATATGTTCTGAATTTTCCTAATTTCAATGCATCTCCAAGCCCTCTGTGTATTTTTGCTGACAGCTCTTGTTTCATAAAGCATTATTTGGATCAATTACAGTATATTAATTAGATCAATTTCAGCTGGGAGATTGGAGAATCCCTCATAGTGGAGTTCTCCCTCTGTCCTGGGAGAGTAGAATGGTGTTGATCAGATCAGGAAATCTTTTTACAAGCAGAATGATTTTTGTCACAGCTCTTAATCAGTGGAGCAACTCTTGTGACAAGAGGGATGTCATTCAAATGCCATTTCCCTTCACATTGAGCACTGGCAGTTGATTTTCAAGATGTCACTTGGATTGACTTTGGTTATAGTTATTTGTATTTCCCCTTTAGCAGGCACTGTAATTGTACAGTACATTATTTTATTGATATGTTTTTTCACAGAATTCTAATGGATATTCCTACCCCCACCACAAATTTGTTACTTTTGAACCCAGTGTTTCCAGCTTAAAATAAAAACAAAAAAAATGATAGCATAGAAGGGTTTCATAAAGTACTCATCCAGCCTTTACATAATTTTATATGCAGTATTGCATTTGAAAATGGAAAGTTTAAGAATTTCCTCCACATTCTGAACTGAAAATGTACTTCAGATTCAGTTCTGTAAAACTCAGTACATTATTGTACATTAGCTTTTATGGTAGCACTTACTCTAGTCATGACAAAAATGAAACGTTGGGACTTATGTTTTCATCCCACTGGAATTGGCAACACCTACCTTTCTGTAGTGTGGTGATCCCAAAGGTCACTAAGCTGTTAGATTGCAGATGCAAAATTAAAGTCAAGAATTTCAACCCAGGGATCTTGGACAGAGTGTTATTTTCTTGTCTGGTTTATAAATACTGTGTCAGTCATTTTCTTTCCAAAGATCTAAACAGAGAGCTGTTAGAACTACCCTTTTAGATTTTTTTCAAACATACAGTAAATGTGCTGTTGGTGCTGTACACTGGCTTTTTTCATGCTTGTCCTTTTGCATACCTCTCTTTCAATGCCAATAAGTAGGCATTGAGCAGTTATTACATCCTAATTTAGTGAATTTAGGATGGACAGACCGGTTGATCCCTTCCAGATGCTTGCATACAGTAAATAGAAAACTTGAAGTAATGTGCCTCTATATGAAACACAACAGCAGCACTGAACATAAAGCACATAATTCCCTTTTTAAGTCGGTGATAAAAGCATTCGAAAGGAAAAAAATAAATCGTCATCATCTTTGAACTGAGGAACAGACAAAATCAGTGTGTCTCAAATTTAAATGTTTTGGAGTCAATAATCTGTTTTGCCATATTTGGATTTCCCCCCCTTATATTTTAAAAGCTGTGTTTTCTACTTTTAGCAAGGACAGATATGCATTTTTAAAAAATACAATGACATCCCTTAGGTGTATAATACTTGAGTTTTTCTATTGCTATTTCCTCATCCATTGTCACAGCTAGGATGTGGGAGAAATGAGCATTTTCTGTAGCTGAATGGTTTGAGCTCATATAAACTATAAAGATCCCTTATCTTACCCAGTAATGCTTTCTGGTAACAGTTTAAGAACAGATGGACCAGGCTGGGTATTGACATCCATCTTTTGAAAGTAGTCATGAGCTAAACATCAATTGATGGTTTCCAGAGCTGCCATTAGTGAAACATTATTGTTCTTTGTGATGCTATAATTAATTACATTTATCAATCCTTCCCACTAAATGAACTTCTTTATAGAATGCTAATGATGTTTCAATTATATGTTCCCTTTGTGACCTGAAGCATTGTTTATAAATTGTTAAAATGTCTCCTTTTTCCTTAACCATCTGGATGGATTCTGCAATAAATCCCATCCATATTTTTGTGGTCTCCTTGTAAGGTCAACCTTATAACACTTCTCCCTTACAGTTGAGCTTCTGCTCTCAATTATTAGGATGGACAACATTAAAACAGCATCACAGAGGGAAATTGGATTATTGCACTGTGCTCAGTATATGTCTGGCACCTCTGAGGGATACTAAAATAAAACCCTTCTCTTTTCAAAGGGATAAAATAGAAAGTCATTCCATCCTTTAATATTAATGCATCATTTTTACAACTGTTTATCTATCAATACATCTGTCCCTGTTTGAATTCTGTGAGTCGGGATTAGTGGTTACAGCAAGACACAGTTGCTGTATTTTCAGTTCTGTGTTGCTGTGCCTTTTGCTAATCTGCCGGCCTGACTCAGAAGGAGTGAAGTGAAAGATAAACAACAATAAAGAGGAAATAATAGTGATATCATTTCACATCCTATGATAATGGCCTAACTGAGCTTTTGCAGTCTTGCACTGTGCCACAGTGATGCACAGCTTCTAAAGAGCCTCCTGCAGCAGTAATAGGAAAAACAAATCTGACTTTAGGATTACATGCAGTCTTCCAAAACACAAACAGCAGCCCCTAAGCAATTCTCAAAAAATAAAATATCCGTTCTCCTGTTGCTAAGGAGGTTTTTAGCCTGAAGACAGGCTGAGATAAATTAAGGTGGTTTGTGCTTTTCTATTTTTTTTAATCAACATACAGTATCACTCCAAACCGTTTAGGTTGCTACTACACCCACTGATCTACAGTTTGTGTACGTGGTCTCATAACCAGCCCACTGGCTTAATAGCACATTTTAAATCATAAGTCCTTTATGGTACTGTAACTGTGTAGGTTATTCTTTGTTTTCTGTGATCAGATTAGACACACAGCAAACCTACTCAGAAATGCAAAGCTTCTTTTGACTCCAGATTGCTCGTCTACCTTTTGAAAATTACAAAGGGTAGCATATCGTCGTATTAAATTCCAGATTCTACTGAGGTGATTCCATTTCAAATCTCACAATGTGGGCATTACAAGAAGGCACGACTTGTTTTGTACGTAATGTTCCCTGTTTTCTAATTTACTTGATCTTTTCTTCCCCAGACCATGCCCAGCCACCAGTACGAGTTGGAGATTGTTGCCAAAGATATGGCAGGGAGTGATGTGGGCTTAACTGGCACTGCTACTGCCACCATCACAATTGCAGACAAGAATGATCACCCACCTGAGTTCACCAAGTCTATGGTAAGAATACACACACTGAAAAAATCTGTTTTAGGTGTATGTGCTTGTTACCAAATAGATTGTTTTTTTATGTCGTTTTTAACAAACCTGTTCTTCTTCCATAAGTTCTGGCTTCCCGGTGCGCAGGTGCACTGTGTGTGTTTCTATTTGGTGTGCCACAAGCTCACAAAACTCCCTGTTCACTTTATTACAAGCTTGGGAAACACTGTGCGATGTATGAACTTTGGTCTGTTCCTTGGTCTAACTAAACGTCTCCGTTTGCTGAGCATACACATACAGTAATATTTCCTAAAACAATCGGAACATTTCAGTTAACATTTTCAGGTAAAAAGTTACCTGAAAATGTTAACTGAAATTTTCCCAAAGGCAGATAGTGTTGATTGAATGGCAGCCATTTGATTTAATATTTATTTTCTCTAGTTTGAATCAACTTGGTACAAAACCACAATCTGAAAAGAGTAGCTATATGATATATATATTCTTTATACAGAAGGAAGGCAGAACAGTGGTTCAGTGCTTTGCAATGCTGCTTCAGAGCGCTTGGACCCTGGGTTCAAGTCTGGACAAGGGGTGCTATATGTGTGGAGTCTGCATGTTCTCCCTGTCTTCACATGGGTTTCCTCTGCGTACTGATTTCCTCCCACATGCCAAAGACTTGTGTGCATTTGTTTCTGTATTCCTGTGTGACATCCCACCCTGCCTTGTACCTGTTGCTTGCTGGGATAGGCTCCAGCTCCTTCGCAACCCTGTATTCAATAAAGTGGTTCAAAAATGGATGCATAGACAGAAGAAAAGACATAATTATTTGCTTAAATATTACAAGCTCTGTACAATAAATGGCATCTGAAATAAACTTAAATTAGCAAAGGAGCAGAAATTCACATTTTCGATTAAGTTAGGCATTAGAGTAGTTAAGTATGTTTTGAAAGTGTGGCATGCCTTTGTAAACCCTTTCTGCTACTTTGACACACAATAGACCTTGTTGAAAAAGCAGTTTTTACCTCATCTTTCAATAAAAGTGCCGATGCACAATACTGTGCTGACAGAGAAATTATGTTGGCAATAATAAAGTGGATTTCAGTCCCACCATCTCAAACTTTCCTCCTCCATGACCTCTAGTTTCCTATTTAAAATGATTGCGTAATAAGTCTTAGGTCGGACCTGGAAGACAACATAATCACTTTTACAATCCTGGTGTTACAAAAGGAAGTGCGAAGGGCTGCAGACTGAGGGTTCTGCTGCATGTCAGCACTGCCTGAGGTGAGCGATGGTTATAAATAGCGAGAAAACAAATGTGACAGGATACAGAACTCCTTTGTCAGATAAAAACTGACATCGTATTGAACAGTTACTGAGTAGTTTGCATTCACATGATATATATTTTTTAAATGCACTGCCAGCAATCTGGTAAAATAAAAAATAATGTTAAATTCCCTGGTTGATAATGGAAGCGCCATGAGCTATTGTTAGGGTTCGCTCCACAAATCTCCCCTTCTCTTCTTCAGGAGCTTCAAGATGCATAGCTGAGTCGCCACTGAAGTGCTGAGTCGCCTTACAAGAATAGGAGCGTTCTGCTCAAGTGTTACATTTTACTGAGAAAATAATACATAAACATGTATAGAGTGAATAGATGTGAAAAGTATTTCAGAACACTTGCTTCCTAAGTGTAAATTGCAAGTTTTCAGCAAATTGTTGAATCAAATTAATTCAAATATTATTTAGGGTGCAATCCCATCCTTATTCCATCAAGCAGTGGATGCAAGGCAGGGTTCACCCTGGATGGGACACCAGTCCATTGCAGAGTGTGTGTGTGTGCACACAGAGACACCAGGTTGAATTATCCCAGAAGGCCAATAACATAACTACACTGTATTTTTGGTCTGTGAGAGGAAACAGGAGCCAAAGGTAAATCCTTTTTATCTTTGACTTTATATTTTCACAAAATAATGGCTGAATAAAATCTGTATCAGCCCCACAATTCATATTTACAAAAGTATACTCTTTCCAAAACAAATCTATCTTTGAAGAATTCATCCTCTCAGTGGGGGGCCCCTTTAATGACTTGTAGTTCAGACTTGGAAGGAAGTCAAAAATCACACTGATGACTGCAGAGGCACATAGGAATACTGTGATAGACTTTCTATACACACTTGAGCATGAAAAAGAGAGAATACAGACAGAAAAACTAAGTAAGCTGAAATGAAGGAGCAACAAAGAAATGCCTATTAATTCATAATGATTGAGACTGCATATCAAACTTAAAGTAGGCCCTCATTAAATGCTGTTCTGAAATCACTAAGCACTGTGTGTATATATGCTTATCTGGCACCATGGTGTTAAAGTTGCCATCTCATAGCTTGCAGAACCTGGGTTTAGGCCCTAGCTTGGGCACCTGGTGTGGAGTTTGCACGTTCTTCCCGTGAGCATGTGAGTTTTCTGTACTCTGGTCTCGTCTCACTTCCCAAAGCTTAGTTGGGCTGATTGGAGTGGCTTTTCTGGCATCCCATCCACGGATAGGGTCGTTTTTGGCTCTGTCCCCCTTTGCAGACTCCTGCTAGCTGGCATTGTTACAATTACCAAAAGTGTTGCGATATCAAATGAAGGTTATTTAAGGCTTACACATAAAGTGCTAGAGGAGATAAATAAAATACACATACTGTATTCTTTCCAGTTGTATTGCTGTGCATATTTCTGCAATACTACACACACAGTTGTATCTTCATTTTGCTGCAGAATTCAAGTAACAAGTCCCAACACATTTATCAAGGCGGTGCAGTACAATTAACTTGCTAATGACCAGTAATTTTACATTTCATGATAATACTTGGTAATTGGGGCCAAGGCTGGGGTTTGGGTAAGAGTGATAACAAAAACTGTCTGATACATTAAGTTACACATTAGGTTAATTCTAATTGCTGTTAATTAATGCCTAGTAATGCAAATTGAGACAAAACTACCCGATTATGCTGTCCCAGTACATATACTGTACGATACTTCTCAGATGAGTGTCACAGAGCTTCAGAGATCTCACTATAATTCTGGAAGAGCACTTATATTTAAGAGCAAAGGTGCTCCCATTTCAATGCTCAATTAATTAGTGTACGTCAAACCGAATACTTAGGAGGACTGGAAATTGCCTTTTGAAGGAGAATAGGTCTGATTGGCTACTTTAAAATAGTTTCTTCTATATAAATCTCCTTTAGTTTTGTGATTGGTTAAAGAGATGTTTAATGTTTATAATTATTGCACATAATTCATCCATTCAGCTGCAGCTCTCATCTCCTATTCTAACCTGCAAAGGTATTCATTCTATTAAATTTAGAGTATGCACATATACGGAATGTATGCATATACGGTGGTGTGTCACTTCCCAATAGCTTACCTACAACACAGAGCCCATGTACTCTATCTCCTATTCAGCTATAGTTTCTTCACATTAACTGCAAAGATAAAAAAGTTCAGATACAGACTTGTCACTCTTTAGTGAGGAATTCTTAGCTGAATTAACTTGTGCTTTATGCAAATTCATTTTGCCCTTGGACATTAAAGAAACTCTGTATTAATTTACGAACAGCCCCTTAAGCTGTCGCTCATTCATTAGTTAGTCCTCATGGTCACGGAAGATGGTCTTGCATGAACCTGACCATGGACATGATTGATAACTCCAGTATGGGATCGACGCTCTCTCTGGCACACGGAACAGCTGTTATCTCAGGAGATATCCGGTCATGTACTGTGCATTCCGGTCATGGTAAGCTCACTGGGATGCTCTCACTTTGCTTCCCTCGTTCCCACATCTTTGGATCTCAAAGCTAAGCTGCTGGCCCAGATATTCTTTTTCCATCTGAATAAGTCGTGGACCGTAATATTCCCTGAAGTCAAAATAAGTTTGCTTTTAAAACACTTCTTTGAAAAGCTTCTTCTGGGCCCCTCTGGTGTGCTTGCCTTGGCTGAGCTGGGAAGCCTGGAGTTTGGCATCCAGATGACATGACTTACAGTACCCAAGGGAGCTGAAGTCAGGTGATGATAGTTTTGAGTCTTGTGTCACCTGCTTGGGAGAGAATACTCATTTTTGTGTGACTCCCTCTTAATAGCTCTCACAAACAGAACTGGTAATATGACTGCTGTCCTTGTTTCAGCCCCACACAGTAAAGAAGGACAGATGACTGCATTGTAGGTCAACAGTTTGGTTTAGTGTGACTGCCTTTGTTTCCCAGTACAGCTGATTTGATATTCCAGGTGCAACCACTTCTGCTTCGTCTCTCTTTGAGGAGGTAGCTGCCAGGCCATGTTTTTTCTCTATAACCCCCTTGGAGGATGCAGAAAAAGTGACAGGCCTTCATGGTTACTAAAGCAGCTTCAGGACTGAAAAAGTCCTTCCCTTTCTTCACTTTGTCAATACTGACTCTTCATTTCTCATTCCCTTCCTCGGCAATCTGATTTTTACAGTCATCTGTTTCAAGCTGAAGGAGCAGAAATGGAAGCTTGGAATTTTCCCATTAATAGTTACTTGTCCGGACAAACAAATAGGGGATGATTCAATTTTCACTGACGGAATGGAGCACATTGCAATAATGGGTACCTGAGAAACTGCTCCACTGCTGGCTTTTGAATATGCATGTTCTGGGATGTTAGAAAACTACCATCAGCTCAATGGAGACTTCTTATCGAGTAATCCTCATCATCGATTCTCAATTCAGTCCTGACCAAATCAATTCACATTTATGGCATGATAAGTGGTTACCACTTTTTTGTAAAATTATCTAATCTTTAAATGAGTTCCTGGTGTTTCTCTTCTGAGTGAAATGTTGGCTGTCCTGCAGGAGCTCAGGGCCACGGTCATCTGCACACAAAGTAGAACAATTCTAATGGTTACAGCACGGACAAACAGCACACAGACAAGGTGTGTAGAATAAGGCATGTATTGAGAAGCTAAAAGCGCAATTAGCAAAGAGCGAGAAGCCTATACACTAGCGTAATAATCAATTTGCATTATTTAC